AATAAAACCATTTAAATATAATTCCCTGTGAATAATATCTTCCTTGAGAAGATTTCATCAGTTTCTGAGGTCAGAGTCTAAATATTTTTTTCCTACTAGGTATCCTTGGCCAGCCTGTTGACTTTCTGTTGACTTAGAATGTCACAATTATGTTGAAAGTTTCAAAGAACAAATATTTCAAACATTGCTATTAAGTGCAGAAAAGTGGTAAGCAAAGATTGTGAGAGAAAGGTAGGAGCTAAAAAAAATCAAAGACAGATAAAAGTGGTGCTGACCTTTGGGAACCTGGGTGACTCAGTCAGTTAAGTGTTCAACTCTTGGTTTCAGCTCAGGTCACAACCTCACAATCTCACAGTTTGTGAGGTTAAGTCCCAAATTGGGCTGTGTGCTGACAGTGTGGACCTTGCTTGAGATTCTCTCTCTCCCTTCTCTCTCTGCCCCATCCCACTCATGCACTCTCTCTCTCCTCCAAAATAAAGAAACTTAAAAATTTTTTGTTTAATGTTTTATTTATTTCTCAGAGAGAGAGAGAGAGAGAGAGACAGCATGAACAGGGGAGGGTCAGAAAGAGAGAGGGAGATACAGAATCCGAAACAGTCTCCAGGCTCTGAGCTAGCTGTCAGCACAGAGCCCAATGCGGGGCTTGAACTCATGAACCATGAGATCACGACCTGAGCCGAAGTTGAACACTTAACCGACTGAGCCATCCTGGCGCCCCTAAAAAAAAATGTTTTTTAAATATTAGTTATGCTGACTCATGGATGCCTCGTCCAACCAGCTCTGGTTACCAAAACGTTTCTTTTTTTTTTTTTTTTTTTTTTTTTACAAATAGTTTATTGTCAAATTAGTTTCCACATAACACCCAGTGCTCATCCCCACAAGTGCCCTCCTCCATGCCCATCCCCCCCTCCCCCCCACATCCATCAGTCCTCAGTTTTTGTCAGCATTCAAGAGTCTCTCATGGTTTGCCTCTCTCCCTTTCCCCCACCATTTCCGCCCTTCTTCTCCCCCTTGTTCCTCCGTCAAGTTCCTCCTAATCCTCCTATACGTGCAAACATATGATATTTGTCCTTCTCTGCCTGACTTATTTCGCTCAGCATAACACCCTCAAGGTCCATCCATGTTGCTACACATGGCCAGATTTCATTGTTTCTCATTGCCATGTAGTATTCCATGGTATAGATAAACCACATCTTCTGATCCATTCGTCCGTTGATGGACACTTAGGCTCTTTCCATGTTTTAGCTGTTGTGGAGAGTGCTGCTATGAACATTGGGGTACACGTGCTCCTATGCATCAGCATTTCTGTATCCCTTGGGTAAATTCCTAGCAGTGCTCTTGCTGGGTCATAGGGGTGTTCTATTGTTAGTTTCCTGAGGAACCTCCACACTGTTTTCCAGAGGGGCTGTACCAGTTTACATTCCCACCAACAGTGGAGGAGGGTGCCCGTTTCTCCACATCCTCGCCAGCATCTAGAGTTCTCTGATTTGCTCATTTTAGCCACTCTGACTGGTGTGAGGTGGTATCTCAGTGTGGTTTTGATTTGTATTTCCCTGATGAGGAGGGATGCTGAGCATCGTTTCATGTGTCTGTTGGCCATCTGGATGTCCTCTTTGGAGAAGTGTCTGTTCATTTCTTCTGCCCATTTCTTCACTGGGTTGTTTGTTTTTTGGGTGTGGAGTTTGGTGAGTTCCTTTTAGATTCTGGATATTAACCCTTTATCTGATGTCATTTGCAACTATCTAAAACGTTTCTAATACATATTTGTCCTTCAAAAAGATTTTGGAAAATTGGCAAGTTACCATATATAAATACCTGAAGTCTTGACCCAATTCCCCCAGTACAGAAAAATTAATATCTATTTTAATTTCAATTATATCTATAAAATCTCTCCATGAAGACGGTGGTGGTATAAAGGGCCAAATACCAAATGTAAATTATTTTGTAACAAACATCTTTATCCTTTTATGTCACAGATTACCCAGGAGCGATATTGAAAATACTTGCCATCTGTATAGTAAATATGAATTAATATGTAAGGCAGAATATATATACTGAAAAATAACAATATTTATTTCTAGGGTGGCTCAGTTAAGCATCTGACTCTTGATTTCGACTCAGGTCATGATCTCACAGTTTGTGAAACTGAGCTCTGTGTCAGGCTTTGCACTGACAGCATGGAGCCCGCTTGGGATTCTCTCTCTCTCCCTCTTTCTCTCAGCTGCTCCCCCACTCATGCTCTCTTTCTCTCAAAATAGATAAATAAACATTTTTTAAAAAACAATATTTCTTTTTATTGTCTAACTAAACTACGTATGGCAAAAATATGGGTAAAGCAATAGTACAAACCAGTCAGAAATCACGGTGATAATTTCCAGTCATTTGTGATATTTGCTAATTGTCTCTGTGTCCTGGGTAGTTTGGGTTGCCAGTGAGTGCCTTCCTCTTTAAAGGCCATCTGCTCTGTCAGGTGACCCTTTCCTGTAGATGACTCTGTCCCTGTACTGCTCTCTGCCCTTGTCCCATCGAGAGGACAAGAGGTAGAGGCCTGCCTTTGTGGCTAGCCCCAAGTGTATCACCACCCTTTGAAGTATCTTAATGCTACCCCAGCTTTGTAAGTAGGCATTTCACTAACCTCTCTTCAGCCACCCTTTTTGAGGTGAGATGCTATCTTACTCTTAGTGCACCAGCCATAATGAGGTAAACGTTATGGAGTTCACCTCAAGATAATAAAAAAGGATTATAAAATATGTTAGAAACTTGGAAATGCTAGATGTGATGAGGTTGAGAACCTCTGTTCTGGAGTAAAAGTATAAGAATATATTGTGGGGAGGATGGATAACAAAGTCCTCATAAACACCTTGAGGAGCCCAGGGCTGGTCAGAGAGCATGTGCATGCAAAGGGAACTGGGAGCCTCTTAGGAAGACAGCTTGGCACATCTTGCTTGGGCTGAACTGACCTAACACTGGGTAGGCATAAAGGACACAAGGCATGTGTCCTGTGTATATGTCTGTCCCATCCTATGCAACTGTGGGGAAGTTCACACTATGAAAATAGCCAGTCAGAGCTAGGACCCTGGGCTCAGCCCCAGAGATGCCGCATTTCTTAAGGGAGCCCAAGTTTCAGGCTCAGTAGAGAACTGAGGCTAGACATCACTCTTTCCTAGCCTCTCCTGCACAGCACCATGCCAAGGGGATGGGTAAAGGACTATATATCTCCATGTACGGTTTAGGATCCAAGGCTTGAGTGATAGCAGGGAGGGAAACCTCTACTTCCTTCCCTCTGAAGCTATAGAGAAAGAGGATGCTGCTGCCCAGGTGGATGAATGGTGGCCAGTTTTGACCCAACCTTCTCAGACCAGGCAATCTGGAAAAACAGGAACTCCATGTGGCGGGAAAGGCAGCCGAGAACAGGTACTGCTGCAGAGGGATTCTGGGAGTTTTGGTCAGTCTCAGGTCTACTGGACTCCTTGAATGGAGGGAGCTCCTAGGTTGCTGGGTGTACCATTGCAACAGAGACTGCTTTCGGGAATGAATGTTCCTGCCATTCTAAGATGTGTGCTTGAGTGACTTAAAATGGATATTGAAAAGCTGTGATTTTATTATATGTACATCAGGCTCATAGAGCAGGGCCTATGATGTGACTTCAGTGGCTCCCTATTTTCCTCAGAACAAAATCCAAATTTCTTGCCATGGCCTTCAAAGTCCTTAGACTCTGGGCCTCGCTCCCTGATCTCACCTCATCATTGCCCCTCCCCACCTTGTGCTGTAATGCTACACTCAGACCTAATGACTTCTCTTTCCTCCAATGCAACACACTCAGTCTCTCTCTATCAAAGCTATTGATCCCGCTGACCTCTTGCCTGGATTCCATCCCTACTGCCCAATGGAAGCTCCCCCAACTTTACCTGCTGCACCTTGGCTCCTCAGATGGATCTCACATCAGCTGTGACTGCCCTTCATGATAGATCGTGAAGGACTCACAGGTTCAGGCAAAGGTGTCCCGGTTAGGTTCATGCTCAGCATGATCTTGTGCCCCAGCATGAGGTTATAGATTAAATTGTGTCCCACAGAAAGGATTGGTTGATGTCGTAACCCTGGGTACCTGTGATTGTGACTTTGTCTGGAAATAGGGTCTTTGCATTTGCAGTCAAGTTAAGATGAGGTGATACTGGATTAGGGTGAGCCCAGATTTGATTACTGGTGTTCTTATAAGAAGAGGGAAATCTGGATAGACACATACACACGTGTATGCCATGTGACAGCAGAGGCAGAGGCTGGAGTTATGCATCTACAAGCCAAGAAATGTCAAAGACTGCCAGCAGCCACAAGAAGCTAAGAAGAGGCATGGAAGGATCCTTCCCTAAGCCTTCAGAGAGAGCATGGCCTGCCCATACCTTCATTTCACACAAAGAAGCTCAGAACTGTGAGGGAATACATTTTATGGTTTTAACCACTAAATTTGTGGTCATTTGTTACAACAGCCCTAAGAACATGATATACAAGGTATGCATGATTCGGGATTAGAATTACCTATTTTTTTTTTTGTTTCTATCACTATAGTAACCTCCCATAGGGCAAAGACTATATCTGGTTTGGTTATCATTAATAACCCAGCTCTTGGAACATAGGATATTCTATATTAAACATAAAGTAAATAAAAGCTCCATAATTGAACAGGAGAAAAGATTCATTACCTGAAGGAAAATGGTTCTGTACAAAAAGAGAGAGAGAAAAAAGAAAGCAAGGAAAGAAAGAAAGAAAGAAAGAAAGAAAGAAAGAAAGAAAGAAAGAAAGAATGAATGAAGGAAGGAAGGAAGAGGTGAAGGGAGGAGGAATCTTTTAGGATGCACTCAGAAATACAGCAAATAAAAAGAAAAAAAGACCAAGACCATTTTTTGTGTTACTAAAATTAAGTCACATGAAAATTTCTACTTCACTCTTTTTGACAAGGTATATGATAGCTTTTATGACAAATTTTTAATAGATCAAATAATCCATTAAATTTTTTCTCCCTTTATTTTTAAGCCCAAGAGACATCTTAGGAGGTGATCATGATTTGATATTTGGTAAAAACAAAATAAATTGCTTTGCAAATCTTCAGTGTAGATGAAATTAGCACATACTTTTGAAAACTTTACTAGCCTCACAATCATCAGGATCTACATCAGGGAATGCACTTCACTGTCAGAAATCCCAGATGCAAGTGCTGGGCATCCATGCCTGCTTCACGGAATCCTGAAAATCTTCTTTGCTTCTTCTAAACTTTTCTCAGTGATGGGAGGCTTCCTCTGGCTGCCAGGCTGCAGAAACTTCTTCACGGTAGGGAGATTGCTGACTCTGGTTTTCAGGGCCTGCAAAGCACAAGGGCACAGCCTCAGATGGAGCCAAAGACTAACCCCATCGTTAGCACCAGCCCAGGAATCAAAGACCCTCCTAGACAAGGACCAACTGAGTCCCCTCCATCTGCACCAGTGTGAGGTTGGGAAATAGACACCCAGTGAGACATGCAGATCGGCGGAAGAAAAGACAGCTCGATACCATTTTCCCCAAAGACATCTTTGTTTCAGGCTCTATTCATTTCAGGTCTTCCCTGTTCTCCCCCTCACATAATTCCTCTAGCTTCACCAGTCTTGTGCAATACAGGGAAGAGGACTGTGTCTGTCAGAATACACACACATCAAGTCTCCAAACAGACAATGAAATTGTAGGGAAATTACACTAGACGTGAAACAGAAAATGTAGGAAGATGAACCATGAGACTGGTCAAAACCAGTCATACCACTGAGAGAGGGACAGAGAGAGGGAGACTCTGCCCAGAGAAACATATCTGCCCTCAGGAGCAGGTGCAGAGAGAAGAAATCAGAAGGCGGGAGACCTGCTCAGACAGACACAGGAAGGAAAGAGAAAGACATAGGTGAATAAGGGAAATCCCAGAGAACACAAGGACAAATGCCATAATGCAATGGGGATGGGGAGATTGATGCTGAGCCTTGGGTCCTTCTCATGGTAAAGACAATGTGTTCTTCTTGGGGAAGCATCCATCTCAGATGTTCTTGGCATGACAAGATTCTCTGCATGCTCAAGAAGCACCTAGAAGGTAATGCTGGAGGTGGGGGGACAGCCAAGTCCTGGACAACATTGGGACCCAAATGAAAATGTTAGATTCTGAGTGGGGGAGATGCAAGCCTTCCCTCCTGAAGGCTATGAGAGAGATTACCTTCAGCAGAGGGAAGTTGGCCAGAAGGCTGGGGTCAAGCTCTTCCACATAGTAGAGAACTTCAACTAGGTGAATGTCAGCCCTGCTCAGCCTGTTGCCAACAAGGTAGTCTTGTCCGTGGCTCTTTAACACCTGGCAGAGTTAAGGAATCACATCAGCCTGGGCTCCTCTGCCCCTCCCAGCTCCCTCCAGCCCAGCCTCCCCACCTCTGCCCCCTCACTGATAGGGTGTTGGCTTCAGACCCTCTTCACTGAGCCCTGACTCAGTGTGACAGTAGATCTCTCCTGTTCTTTCCCTGCTCCTCAGCTGAAGCCCCAGCTTCCGTTTCCCTATAACCTGTGCTCCTGTGTATCCTTTTCAACTCTTCTGATGTATGCAACTTTTCCTAATAAAATGTTGGGAAAATTCATGAAATTTATTAAGACATTCCAGTAATATGCAAACGATAACATGAAGAGAAAACCCACAGCACCACCAGCTTAAGGTAATTTAGCAAATACCCTTTCAGACTATGTACACATAGAAATATGGATAATTACTATGCAAAGAATATAAGAGCACTTCGAATGCTATATGGCAATCTACTTTTTTCATTTAACTTATCATAGGGCTCTTTGATTTCAGAGTGTAGATGTGCTCAAATGGGATGACAGTTCAGGTCTTTGTTATGTGAATGTGCCCCAAACTCTCAACACCAAAAAGGTCAGGAGAGAGAGTGTTTTCTGCTTCCTATTAATTCTTCCCACCTTGAATAGGGCCAACACACAAGCCATGAATTATATTCTTTTCTGTGATTAACAGAACGATCTACTGCCTCATTAAGATGGGTGTGTCCATGCTAACACCTCCATTTATATGTAAGGCCCCCTGTATCTCCTACAATCATTTTTTGGGGGGCCCATAATTTTTATTTATCATGATTTCAGGTAGTTTAGATCTTGAAACATTCTTCTCTTATGTCCAAGGAGAAACATTAACTAAGATAAGTACTATCTACAGTGATGGAGTCTTATTTCCTTAGTTTTCATGGGTGTCCTCTAAAGTTTGAGAGCCATGCCTTCAAGTGTGTCGATTATTTTTTCCTTAACATCTCTCCATCTGTCTCTTCCTCTCCATCCCATTGCCCTCATCTCTGACTAGATACATCTCATCCTTCCACCCCTAAGACACTACCACATTCTCCTAAAGGGCAGCTGGTCTCATGTCTCCCTACATATGTTGCCACAGTAACTTCTGATGCATTGCTCTCATTGTGTTCCTCTTGGATCAAAGCCCCTGCATGGTGCTCTGTCTGTAAGACCTACTCCTATCTCCAGTGTGGCTCTCAGAGCCTTCAACAGCCCAGGCTCTAACTATGACCATGGAAGTCTGCCAAATAAAGAATTCTAGATTGGCTCCTGGTAAATGACATCTTGCTGGAAAATTAAAACTTGGGTATCACTGGTGCAATGCTTCCTCACAGCCATTCTTATAAAATGCCCTGAGAGTCAGGGTGCAGCATTAGTATTCAGGAAGGCTCACTGGAAGTAAAGGTCAAGGCTCAAGGAATGCTAGCCACTGTCTATCTTTTCTTCTATGTGCAGTGCCCAAAATGCTCAACTGTCCACTTACTTTTTCAAATGCAGGGAGATAACGAGCTGTTATTTTCTCTTTGACCTGGGCAATCTTGGCCTCTTTCTGATCAGGTGGACACAGAGGCAAAAGGAGGATCATTTCATTCAAATCTGCCACACCTTCTGTGTATGTATCTATCCTGAAAGACAAAATGACCAAATTGTCAAATGCCTTCTGCCTTGATTTTAGAGTTGAAAAATGTACAAGAATGGGACATCAAGGGGTGGCAAAGTAATTCCGCTCTATTTAATGCATTTTATATACCATTCATTCAGCTCTCAGTTTTACTTTATTTGAACATTTCATCCTAGAACAAGCCACCAAGGTAGTTGTGTCTAAAACTATCATTATACACATGATCAAATAGAGGGACAGAGAGCATTGGTGACCTGTATAGAGTCACAGAGAAATCAGTGGAATCCTGCAAGTATCTACCAGGAACATGCCTAGGGTCTGTCACCTCTGTGGTGGCTTGTTCTGTGCACAAATGGAGTGTGACTCCATGTGGCTAAGATCTGCCCCCTAAGTGATCTCCAGACAGAGTCCCTGGAACAATCGTCTCCACCATGTCCCCTTCCTCCCTTGTTCTGTTACAGCACCCAGGCCTGTTTATGTGCCCAACATCAGCATTTTTTCCAATTATTTCCCACAACACATGGCTCCACACTTTTTACACATACAATCGCCCAACTCTGGCCTTGTTTGCTTTTCTCAACCCTTCACCTAAAATATCCCCCGAAATGGTGAAATACTTTTTACATTCCAAACAGTACATATTCCAGAAGAATTGGTTCAGTTGTTCCAAGCTGGGCTTCCCATAAGAGTTTTTTTTAAACAAATCTTTATTAGCACACAATTCAATACCATAGGTGTACACTTCAAAAGTGTATAAGTTAGTGATTTTTAGTAAAGACACAGAATTCTGTACCATCACCACACTCTAACTACAGAATATTTTCATAATTCCAAAAGAAATGCTGTATGATTTGATACCCATTCCAATTTCTTTCCTCCTCTAGCCCCTATAAGCCACTAAACTACTTTCTGTTTCTATATATTTGAATGTTCCGGATATTTCATACAAATGGATTCATACACTATGCACCTTTGTGTCTGGTTTCTTTCACATAATGTGATGTTTGCAAGGCTTATTCATGTGGTACCATGCATCGGTACTTCATTCCTTTTCATGGCCAAACAATATTCCATTGATGAGTAGACTAACCAACCACTCATCAGTTGATGCACATTTGTGTAGTTTCCACATTAAGAACACCACTGCTATAAACATCTGTGTACAAGTTCTAGCATGGATGTATTTCCACTAGTCTTGTTTGTTGGAGTTGCTGGAATATGGCAACTCTATGGTTAACTTTTGAGCAACTCAAAACAGTTGCTTCTAAGATTTAAATTTCAATCATGTGGTCCCATCACCACAGAGGGAAGAATCCACAGATATGGTTATATTGACTAAATCTGTCTACTTCAATCCTGTATCAAATTATTCGTGATAACCCTGGCATCTTGGGGACCACACTCTGCTAACCCTTGTCAAGTGGCCAGTCCATTTAATAGGCCGATAAGTGAAGTTCTTGGTCATCATTCTCATAATTTCTGAAACTTCAGACTCAGTGCCTTTGGATCCTTCTATTCCCCAGTCTTATCTGCTGAACACTCAGACACATTGTCCTTTGTCTCTAGCTGTCGGACGATATCAGCTCCTAAAAGGCCTGAGTGTCTAGAGTGATGACTCCACCATCTTTCTGGCTTTATAGTTCATCAGCATTAGCAAAATACTGTCACCATATGTGCTCTATATGTGGACCGCTTCCTTTTCTGTAATCCCCTTTGGTGAATCCACTCCAAAGGGAAGTCCTCATCCTCATAGCTCTCTGCGGTGTTGGACCTCAGTCTATACCACCAGATCCTGTGCTGCTGCTGGCTACAATCTCCCCGACACATCCTGCCCACCCAAGGAAGAACCCAAATTTTTACATTAATTGCTCATGGAAGAATAAAAGAAATACTGTACAGAGCTCTCTCCTTTATGTCTTTCCCATAGAGGTTGTATTTGGTGGCAATGTAGTTGAGAATGGCTCTGGTCTGGACCATCTTCATTCCATCAATTTCAACCATTGGCACTTGCTGGAACAACAAATGTCCATCTTTTGAAAAAAGACAAGAAGAAGCAGAGTGACATATTTTATGGATCATACTCTTTTAACATGAAAAACACTTGTTGCCATGACCGAAGATATAAAAGGAAACAAAAATTATTGCCTGGTAACATTTCACCAAATCTGTATTTTGGTTTTTGCATCCTATAATCCTCTTTGTTCTCAGTCTGCACTTTACTTTTCACCTATTATTTCATTTATCTTTTTCTGAAAAATTTTTAATGTTTTTTTTTGAGAGAGAGAGATAGAGATGAGCACAAGTGGGGGAGGGGTAGAGAGAGGGAGACACAGAATCTGAAGCAGGCTCCAGGTCCCAAGCTGTCAGTACAGAGCTGTTCCTGACGTGGGGCTCAAACTCATGAACCATGAGATCATGACCCAAGCCAAAGTCAGACGTTGACTAACTGAGCCACCCAGATGACCCTCATTTATCTTTTAATTTCCCATCCAGATACGTGGTAGGTTCCTGTATTTTTTGCAGTTGATTTGCTTCTATGGATGTTTTAGGAAATGTTGAGAGAGGCTACAAAAGGGCCAACACTGCATTCATTTCAAATGAAACATCCAAAGTAAGTCTCCAGGGTTCATGCCATTAAGGCAAACGCAAAGGGAGATTTCTACGTAGGGTGTTTTGCTTGCTCTTCCAGTTCTACCACTGGAAGTGTGTGCGGAACAAGCCCTGGTTTCCTGACCCTGCTGATGTGAGTAGTGCTTGAACTTTGTTCTTCATCTCCATCTTCATACTGTTACCTGGACTTTCAACTAATCCAACTAAACTCCGTATCATTCTCTGAGTCTATGATATTGCTAGGATATTAGCTTGCAATAACCCATCAGAGAAAAGACACACGCAACTGCTGGACTATTTTCTACTCCTTTCACTCTACTGCGTATGTTCGAGAGTCCTTGCATGGGCAGGCTCTGTGGGATCCTGAACTGACCCAGCTCACTCAGGGTGCATAAAAGCTGGAGAATGCAAAGGGAGAGCATTCACAGGACACGGGGGATAGTTCCTTCAGCAAATACTCAGAGTTCAAGCCTCTCCTAGCCTTGAATGAGGTGGAGGATCTCCCCAAGGAGCCCTGCCCCTCAACTTGGAGTCACTTCTCTTCCATTCCACCACCCCCAGCTCCCACCACACTCACACATAGGTGTTCAAACCTCAACTTATGACATCTAACTGACCCCTAATCTGAGCAGTTAAATACCTGGTCTTACCATTTTTTAACTTATCCAAGTCTTCTGGAGTTTCTATAAATTTCTCTTCAAACTGGAAAGCAGAAACAGTGAATTAGCATTCCTAAAACATCAAGGATGCTTCTTTAAATTCATCTCATATTTGATAAAGGTTCATGTTTCTAATTATTGCACAAATGTCAAAAATTATATTTTGTAGTTTTCTTGAATCAAAATCCAAATAAGGCCTACACATTATGCTAAGCTTCTGAGTTTGCTTAAATTCTTTGATGGGAAGAAATTTAATAATATATTAGGTGAAATCTGTCCACCTCTTAATAGCTAACAATTTTTTTTAACGTAAAACTCTTGACAGGTCATTTAGAAAAATAAAAGAATCTCCTAGCTTATGTGAGAAACATATTCTGATAGAGTCAATGTTAGGTCCAACTTAGGATAACAAAACTCAGATCTCACCTCTACTCCAGCTGAAGCCAGGAGCCACCGGATGGACTCCATTCTTCCACGTCCATTAAAGTAGTGAAGCTTGGGCTTCCCCGCCATGATAGTCTCTGGATTTCTCTAAACATGAATGAAAGAACAAATAAATGAATGAACAAATGAACACTGTCACAGAAGCAAAAATGTACTTTTTGATGTGGCTCAAATAGTACTAACAATGCTGAAGGATTACCTGCCTTCTTCGTGGAAGAATTAGAAGAGACACTAGAATGTCTTTCAAGACCGAATTCTCATCCCATCATTAGCCAGTCCTGGGAAATTGTCCCAAACCATGCTTGTATCTCCACTGTGTTGCAGGCTAATAGGTGAGTGTGTGTGGTAAGGATGCAGGTGTGGGTGTTAGGGGGAGGGGGAACGATTAGAGAATTGGTATTTGTTGAAAATCTGCTAATGATCCTGACCCAATACCAGTCCCATTGGATACATTATATCTTCAGTCCTCATAATGGCCCCGTGAACTACTTGTTATCAGACCCACTTTTCAGTTAATGAAACCAAGGCTCAGAGGTGAAAAGGCTTGTCCATAGTGATTCTCTAGTGAGTGATGGACATGGAAATCCACACCTAGGACTAAAAAGAGGGCAGGCTTGGAATCCACACAGGTGCTGGAATTGGGAGGGAGCCTGTGAGGGGCACTGAAACCAGAGGACTTCTCTGACAAGAGGGGGATGAGGAACAAGTCAGGCTTCCACTCCTTGACTGTTATGCTGTTTTTGTTTAAAACAAAATTAGGGCTGACACTTGCTTAACTCTAGCTCAAAAGACCCCGGTTCTTTCCGTAGACACAGGATCACAGGATGCTAGTTTCCTTCAACTCTCTTTCTTTCTTTTCTTTCTTTCTTTTCTCTTTCTTTCTTTCTTTTTCTTTCTTTCTTTCTTTCTTTCTTTCTTTCTTTTTCTTTCTTTCTTTCTTTCTTTCTTTCTTTCTTTCTTTCTTTCTTTCTTTCTTTCTTTCTTTCTTCCTTTTAAATTCTACATTCTGCCTCTACTTAGTAAACTGTACAATCTGGAAAAGGGGATGTGACTGTAGTAACATTACAGTCAATGGAACAGAACTAACATTTCTTCAATGTCTATTATATAATGGGCATTTTTGCCCATTTATCTTCCATTAATCCTACAAAAATCACCTGAGATGTATTCTGTTATTAGTGTCCTTTTAAAGTTGAGGGTTACTGAGGTTTCTTGAGTAACTTGCCCAAAGTAAGTGGTGAAGTTAGAACTCAAATCTACTATTACTCAAAGACAAAGGCTTTATTTTCTACCCTGGTGTTTTTAAAACAATGCATGAGAATCCTTCAACAGATTGTGAAATCTACCAATTTTTAAAATGAAGTAGGGGAAAATAGAAAATATCAGAGTGCATTACATGTAAAAACACAAACTTTGTTTCATGAGGTCTTGTCTTCAATGATGTTTGTGTATATGGGGCTGTGCATGAATGCACACTCATTTAATCAGTATAATGTAGGAGATACTTTGTGTCTGGTCAATGGAATTTGAAAACCCTTAGTCCATCCCAGTCTGCACAGGAAGTGAACCAAGCAGGGAACCAGACAATGAAACTCTATGGCTCAAACAATGGATGTGCTATCAGAGGTGTGAATGGAAACACACAGGACTCATTAAAAGGTGGAGTCCCAAAGTCAGGTCTTAAGGAGGAACAGTTACCTTTTCTATGCAAATCCCAAGCTCTGTTTACAAAATGTTAAGATTCTCTTGCAAAATTTTGTTGTGGACTTTGGGACAAAAATATACCTCTCTTACCCAGTGACTACATCTCTGAAAACATGTGTGTGACTTGAATTTTAGATATCAAAATGTTTTTAATGTCCATATTTTTCATTTGGGACTCAAATCTTTAGAAAGTAAAGTCAAATCTTTAGAAAGTAAAGAACCATTTGGAAATGTACTTACACAAGTCATCTGCCTTGTAATTGGAGATTTTGTTTCTTGTGCTTTCTTACCACAGGGAATAGAGGTGCTATGACTCAGCAGAAGGAAAAGAATAGCACTCATACTATGTGTGTTTTGAACTACAGGTCACAGAGCTGTGATTCAAAACCTCACACTGCCTTATCCATGGTGTAAGGATCAGGTTACTAAAGGAAATGATATTTACCTCATGTAATATTTTATCAAAGGGCTCCCCCTGATAAGCAACTTTGTTTACCTTCTGAAGAGGAAGTTTCCAGAGACCTGATCAAGACTGGGGCAAAGGTTATCAGAGAGTTTTGCCTGATCAAGACATCAGCAGATTCTGGTTCTGCCCCTGCCATGAGCACCCCTTGTGTCTTCCATGTCTGGCCCATCCCCCATGCCACTGGCTCCCTGATCCGAGTGTGTTGGAGTCTCTCCTGCCCCAGCCTCCTTTGCATGGATTCCTGCCGCTGCTTCTCTCTGCAGCTACTCACAGCACTCGCACTGGGCCTCACTCTCAACTCTTGTTGAAAATGATTACTTCTGTCCCAACATCCTGTTCCTTACCTGGGAACAGACCTTTCACTGCTTCTTCTTCAACACTTTGTTTCTGGTGACATGGAACGTATATCCTGCTTTCAAAAATTTTCCTCCAAACTTTCTCAACTAACATCATTGATCAGTTTTGTGTACTAAGAAATGATGGCTCCACAGGAATAAGACAGGCACCTGATTTGGTCTCTGTCCTGAAGGGTTTAGAGACAACTGGCAGCACGCAAAAGGCCCAGTGGTGACTCCAGTTTAATTGGTCCTGACCCCCAATCATGATTCTCTAAGTCAAGCAGTTCAGAGCAAGGTGAAGGCTGCCAGGCTGAAAGCCAAGGCTCCTGCCTCCCAGGGCAGCATGACAGGTTCATGCCCTTTGCCTCTTTGACCACCATTTGCCTGTCTTCCTGCTCTGCAAATTAGGATCACACCTCATCCTTGTCAACTGTGCTCTCTCGAGCATCTTGCAAAGTGCTTTTCCTCAACACCATTTCAATATCTTCTGCCATACATGCTATATTTCTTCCCGTGGATTCTGTTATGCCTGGACAGCTTCTGGACTGTTAAAGTGATGTCCCGGAACCTGTAGTCTCGCCAATCCAAACCTGTCTTTCCCCACCAATGTTAACACTTTGGACAGCACACTGTGAACTCTTACCTTCTGGTTGTAATGGCTCATGCGTTCTAGCTGGGTGAATTTCTGTGCCTTTTAGAAATGAATTGTGTGCTCTCCTGACTACCTACTTTTCCCATCAAGTTTTCTTGAGTTTGGGAGTTTGATAAGTCATGTAATCCAGTGATTCTTATGTGGGGGTGATTTTGCTTCTCCACACCCTGGAAGACATCTGATAATGTCTGGAGACATTGTTGGGCATCAAAACCAGAAAGGAGAAGGTTGCATTTTCAGCTGGGTAGAGATCAGAGATGCCTTTGATATGGCATGAGACCATGTGCCTCTGAATGCTTTTTATCTACTACAAGTCATTCTGCATTTTATCTGCCTATTTTTCATCAACTGTGTTATCCTAACAGACATATTTATTGGATACTTGGTTGGAAATATCTTTTTTTTTTAATGTTTTTATTTATTTCTAGGAGAGAGAGAGAGAGACAGCGTGAGCAGGGGAGGGTCAGAGAGAGGGAGTCACAGACTGAAACAGGCTCCAGGCTCTGAGCTGGCAGTCAGCACAGAGCCTGACGCGGGGCTCGAACCCACGAACTGCGAGATCATGACCTAAGCGAAAGTCAGACTCTTAACCAACTAAGCCACCCAGGCGCCCCTGGTTGGAAATATCTTATGGTTGATTGTAGTTAGCAACTGTACCTATGTAGTCTTTCCAGAATAGGACGCATTGCCATTTTGAGAAAACACAGTAATTCTCCCATTATCCATTGGCACTTACTCTGCTCCACAGGCTGCCTGTCACTGGCACTAGAGTGGAGCCTCAACCCCGCACTGTGCTCTTTCTAGAAGCACTGAGTGAAACAGAAAGAAACCGTGAGAATCTTAACTGTGTCAACGGTATTGCCGAAGTGACCACTTCTTGCAAAACTTGTAAATAAACTATCATCGTAGACATTTTAAAGGTGTGAAGTTCACAAGTTTGAGGAATTATGCATGTTAACACTATTGTCAAGTACATTCTTTAAAACTAATTAAATGTACATTTCTACAATAAATACTTTTAACTGAGCAACAATGACAACAAAAGGACAATTAGCAGGATGGCTCCCCGCAACAGGAATAAGCCAGCCCAGTGTCAAGAAGACCAAGTTGCGAAACCCTGCTCCAGCCCTTCTCTAGGCTTGCCATGTGTGGCCCAGAAAGAGAAGGGGACTTGTCAGCCAGCTAATCGGAGCAGAGACTGACTTAGAATCTAGTTCTGCTGACACTCAGATTAATTTTTTCTCTTATATGAAGTCTCAGTTTTTGATTTTTCACAGCCTACATCGTATCACAGCATCACAATTCACAACTGCTGCGTGTTGACTACAGTGGTTCTCTGTGTCTGCACGGGCAATGTTCCAACATGCCTGAAACTGAGGAGACTACCAAACGCTATGTTCTTGCTCTATAAATACGTACATACGATGAAATTTCATTCATAAATTAGGCACAGCAGATTAACAACAATGACTCATAGTAAAATAGAACAATTCTAGTGATATGGCATAATAAAATGATGGGCAGTTTATAACTCATGAATATTTTTCTTTCTGGAATTTTCCATTTAACATTTTCCGACTGCAGTTACCACAGGTACCTGAAACCACAGAAGGCAAATGACATGTAAGAGGGGGCACTATACTTCCACAGAGAAAGTAAGTCTGGCAAAACACCTGCACTCTCTCCTGCCAGGTTATATTTTCAGGTTGCTGAAATAGTATCATTTTTTTTCCCCTAGTATCATTCAGGTTTTTCTACCTAATTCTTAAGTCCTAGGTTTCTAATCTCTTCATTTTTACATTTCTGGAAAGATGTACCCAACAGCAAGTGAATAAACAACGCTTGGGGCGCCTGGGTGGCCTAGGCTGTTAAGGATCTGACTGTGGCTCAGGTCATGATCTCATAGTTTGTGGGTTCGAGTGCCGTGTCAGGCTCTGTGCCGACAGCTCAGAGCCTGGAGCCTGTTTCAGATTCTGCATCTCCCTCTCTCTCTGCCCCTCCCTTGCTTGTGTTCTATCTCTCTTCCAAAAATAAACATTAAAGGGGCTCCCGGGTGGCTTAGTCGGTTAAGCGTCCGACTTTCTCCCTGGTCATGATCTCGCGGTTCGTGGGTTCGAGCCCCTCGTCGGGCTCTGTGCTGACTGCCAGCTCAGAGCCTGGAGCCTATTTCAGAGTCTGTGTCTCCCTCTCTCTCTGACTCTCCCCTGCTCATGCTGTCTCTCTCTCTCTCTCCTAGAAATAAATAAAACATTTTTAAAAAATAAATAAATAAACATAAAAAAAAAAAAAACCTTTTGAACTGTCTCCCAAACACACCAAGAAGCACAATGTGAGTATAAAACAGACTTCTTCTTGTGCTAAGGACACGTTTTTAACGAGTTTTCTGGTGACCTAGAGATGAGGATGGAAGGCAATGTCCAAAGACTTAGAAAAGCGGTACTTACCCTCCTGAAGTCTGTCCCCCACTAGCCTCAGCAGCTGCGTGCCAACCCCTCATGCGTTTTTAAGCTCTTTGACAATAACTCCTCCTCTCTGGGGTGGATAGAGTTCAGTGGGGAGAAAAGTCACTCCCACAAGGTTCAGGGCCGTGGCTCCCATGCTAGATATGCAGGAAATGACAAGTCATCCTCTTATGAAACAACTATTTAATATGTTCCCTTTCAAGATTGGCAATTAAAAGATTAAACAAGTTCAAAATGATTGGATTCTCTGCCAGTCAGTGAGATATGGCTTTGGGAAGAAATTTACAGTGAGATTTTCATGAATTGCATATCAGGACCAAGACAGATGAAAAGCCTCTACCACGAGGCTAGCAGATCTCGGGAATACTTTTCATACTGGGTTTTAAATGAAATACAGGCACACAATTGAATGTGAATTTCAGACACATGATACATTATTTGTTTTGGTACTGGCACAAAAATAAGACATATAGATCAATGGAATAGAATACAGAGCCCAGAAACAAACTCATGATTATATGGTCAATTAATCTTCAAAAAAGGAAGCAAGAATATGCACCAGGGAAAAAGAGTTTCTTCATAAATGGTGCTGGGAAAACTGGACAGTGACATGCAAAAGAATGAACTGGACTACTTTCTTACACCATTACAGAAAAATGAAATCACAATCGATTAAAGAGCTAAATGTGAGACCTGAACCATAAAAATCCTAGAAGAGAGTACAGACAGTAATTTGTCTGACATCAGCCTTAGTAACATTTTTCTAGATATGTCTCATAAGGCAAGGGACACAAAAGCAAAAATAAACTATTGGGACTGAATCAAAGTAAAAAGCTTTGCACAGAATGGAAACAATCAACAAAACAAAAAGGCAACTTCCTGAATGGGAGAAGATATTTGCAAACGATATACCTGCTGAGGGGTTAATATCCAAATACATAAAGAACTTATACAATTCAACACCCGGAAAACAAATGATACAATTTAAAAATGGGCAGAAGATATGAACAGACATTTCTCCAAAGAAAACATCCAGATGGCCAAGAGACACATGAAAACCTGCTCAATATCACTCATCATCAGGGAAATGCAAATCAAACCGACAATGAGATACCACCTCACTCCTGTGAGAATCACTAAATTCAAAAACACAAGAAACAACAAGTGATGGTGAGAATGTGGAGAGAAAGGAACCCTTGTGCACTGTTGCACAAGGAACATGCAAAAAAAGGGAATGTAAAATAATGCTGCCCCTGTGGAAAACACTATACAAGTTCCTCAAAAATTAAAATTACAATTACGGTATGATCCAGTAATTTTACTGCTGGGTATTTACCCAAGGAACATGAAAAGATTAATGCAATATATATAAATTAATTGCATTTATATATATTGCATTAATCTTTTCATTAATTGTGTGTGAGTGTATATATATATATATATATATATATATATATATACACTCCATTGTTAATTGCAGCCTTACTCAGAATAACCAAGATATGGTAGCAACCCATGTACATGGATAGATAAATGGATAAAGAAGATGTGGTGTGGGGTACCTGCTGGCTTAGTTGGCACTGCAGGCTTAGTTGGCACTGCTGGCTTAGTCAAGCATCCAACTCTTGATTTGGGCTCAGGTCATGATCCCAGGGCTGTGGGATCAAGCCCTGCATCAGGCTTTACACTGAGCATGGAGCCTGCTTAAGAGTCTGTCTCTTTTCTCCCTCTGCCCCTCTTCCCCACTCACACTCTCTCTGTCTCTGTCTCTTTAAAATAAAATAAAACAATAAAGCAAAGATGTGGTTTATATATATATATATATATATACAGTAAAATATTAATCATAAAAAAATGAAATCTTGTCATTTGCAACAACAGAGATGGATCTAGAGGGTATAATGCTATGTGAAATAAGTCAGTCAGAGAAAGACAAATATCATATGATTTCACTCATATGTGGAATATAAGAAACGAAACAAAACAATACTAAAAAGAGAAAAAAAACAAAAAAACAGACTCAACTATAGAGAACAAATGGATGGTGATCAGAGGGGAGGTGAGTGTCAGTTATACTGGCATTAAGTGCATGCATAGTGTGGTGAGCACTGAGCAATGTATAAATCGTTGAGTCACTACATTGTACACCTGAAACTAATATAGCACTGTAGGTTAATGATACTAGAATTTAAAATGATTTTAATTACAAAAATAAAAGCTTTCAAAAAATAAATAATTGTTCAGTAGAAGCATGCCCTAAATGTTGTTTGGAGTATACCTAACAATAAAAAGTTATTATTTACCTGAAATTCACATTTAACTCACATCCTGAATTTTGTCTGCTTAATCTAGAAATCCAGTTCATATGCTTTTTTCTCACTGTCACACTCCAGTCAGCTCTTCTACCCTCTGGGCCTTTACACTGGCTATTTGTTCAGTTTGGAATACTCTTGGAGCTACTGTATTTCCCCAATTATGACCTTTCTCACAGTATTTTGACAGTGTATGTTTAATATCAGTTTCCTCCATGGACTTTGAACTCTTGGAAAAGGGCCTTCACCTTGTTTTCAGTCAAGCTCCTGTTGTCTGGCATAACATCTGGCACATATTGGCACATAGAGCTCAATAAATAATACAGTGTTTTAAAATAATTAAATGGGAAATTTCTAGCAAATTCAAAAGTAGAAAGAATAGCATAATAAATCTCTATGTACTTACTCATCCCCTGCTTCAGCAATTGCCAACAAACCTTTTTTCATTAACACTCTGTAATGGGTGGTATACAGGTCTCCCAAAAAGATAGGTCCATGTCCAAATCCTGAGAACCTGTGAATGTGATCTTATTTGGAGAAGAGGTCTTTGCAGATTTCATTAAAAAGTTAAGGAACTTGAGATGAGACCATCATGGATGATCTAGGTGGATCCTAAATCCAGGAACACATGTCCTTATAACATAAGAAAAAATACAGACACACAGAAGGTGAGGTGGTGTGAAGATGGCGGCAGAGATGGAGACGATGTGGCCATGAGTCAAGAAAAGCAAGGAATGCAAAAAGCTACCAGAAGGTGGAAGAGGCAGGGAAGGATTCCTCACTAGAGCCTCTGGAGGAAGTGCAGCCCCCAGCTGCCATCTTGACTCTAGACTTCTGGCCTCTCAAAGTGTACTTACTGTTGTTGTAAGCCATCGGTTTGTACTACTTTGATAGTGCAACCATAAGAAACCACTGAGTATTCCCACCTACTGCCCCCAGTACATTGGAACTATTGTGAAGCAAATCCTAGACAATGCATCACTTCATCTATCAAATATTTAGTATGTTATCTCTAAAATATAAACAGTTTTGGGACACCTGGATGGCTCAGTCAGTTAAGCCTCCAAATCCAGCTCAGGTCATGATCTCACCGTCCATGATTGAGTCCTGCTTCAGGCTCTGTGCTGACAGAGCTTGAAGCCTGTTTCAGATTCTCTCTCCCTCTCTCTCTGGCCCTCCCTCATTCACACTCTGTCTCTCTCTTTTAAAAATAAACAAACATTAAAAAAAAATTTTTAATTAAATGTAAACAGTCTTGCTAAGCAGAATCATACTCTTCTCCTACCGCATTGATTTCTTTAATTCCTTAATTTTATTAAATTTTCAGCATTCTAATTTCCCCAATGTCTCATTAAGTTTTCTGCACAGTTGGTTCCTTTGTATCAGAATCCAGGCAAGGTCCACACATAGCATTTGAATGAGATGAATAAATATATTTTGAGACACGGGTGAATGAACACAGGTGTCAGTCTGGGGGTTGTGACGAATTCCCAAAGCCCAGACTCCCACCCTTGGGCCACGAAGGTGTACCTGGGCCCTGGGCGGCATTATCACAATTTGTGAAAGAGCACTGGGGTTACAACAGAGCCATGCCTGCCCCCCAGCAGTTCTCAGGGTAGCAGAGGAGGCACCAAGGCCTTCAGGTTTATTAGAGCTTTCAGGCCTCAGTGGGAGGCACTGAGGGGAGGAGTGAAGTGTGGCCAGGTGGGAAGGAGCTTACCAGGTGGAAGAGCTCCAATATGCAAGTGACAACATCACCAACTTAAAGCAATTTTGGCAAATACCCTTTCAGACTATGTACACATATAGAAAAATGGATCATTATTATGCAAAGAATATAAGGCCACTTCAAATGCTATACAGTAATATGCATTTTTCATTTAACTTATCATAAGGCTCTTTGATTTCAAAGTACAGATGTGCTCAGATGGGATGACTGTTCAGGTCTTTGTCATGTGAATGTGCCCCCAAATTCTCAGCACCACAAAGGTCAGGAGAGAAAGTATTTTCATTTTTTTAAAAATTTATTTATTTACTTAGAGAGAGAGAGAACATGCATGAGTAGGGGCAGGGGCAGAGAGAGAGAATCCCAAGCAGGCTCTGGGCTGTCAATGTCTAGGTGCCCAACATCAGCAGGTTTTCCAATTATTTCCCACAGCACATGGTTCCACACTCTGTCCATACACAGTTGCCCACCTCTGGCCTTGTTTGCATTTCTCAGCTCTTCACCTAAAATATCCCGTGAAATGGTAAAATTCTTAACAGAGTTTCATACAGTGCATATTATAAGGGATCTCTTTTTCTTTTGTTTCAAACTGGCTTTTCTATTTTACTTATAAAAATACCGGTTCTGCTGAAATATATTCACATAGCATACTTGTCACCCTTTACAATGTATTTTTGTAGTTTTTAGTACATTATGAAACCATCACCACATTCTAATTCCAGACATTTTTATCACCCCAAAAACAATTCTATGCCCTTGACAGCCACGCGCCATTAACCTCATCTCTCCAGCCCCAGGCTACCAGTCAGCTACTTTCTGCTTCTATCGCTTTGAACGTCTGGACATTTAATACAGTTGGAATCATACAATACGTGGCCTTTTGTGTCTGGTTTCTTTCATATAGTAGGTTTTTACATTTTTTTTTAACGTTTGTTTATTTTTGAGAGACAAAGCATGAGCAGGGGAGGGGCAGAGAGAGGGAGACACAGAATC